TGATATACGACTGTATACCTTAAGATGAATTTAAAATTTTGACATTATTTTGCAAAATTTCTAAAAAGCTGCATTTTTGATTCAATGCATTAAACCGCATTAAAGGCGAAACTTCCCATTTCCTCTTGGAAATAAATTTGCCATGAACAATTTTTCCACAAGCCTTTTAATAAATGACATTTTTCTGTTATAAAAGGCGCATACAAATTATTTATTGTAGTCCGGAAAGACTCTCCACCTCTTCAATGTGTCCCTTATCCACAAAATAAATGTGTTGATGTGGTCCTTGGCCACATCCGAGTTGGGCAGCACTGCTCCGAGTGACTGTAAACTGTTACGTTTTGAAAAAAATTAGGAAGCAGCTGTTAAAAAGCTAGGGCCAAGAGCATTCGGAAAGTTGACTGCGTGAAGAGGATTTCGGGAGCAGGCTGGTAGATTGAAAAGCAGCTTCTCCAGATGTCCGCAAGTCGCATTTCAGACTCGTACTAATGCGGTTGTGGGGTTCTTTTGCAGCACTGGACACGGGGATTATGCTTGTTGCCTCGGCCTGACGGGTAAATGCGAAATCTGGTTCTCGGCTTGCGCATGCGACCCCCGAACACAATGAAATTGGTGTGGCATGAAATCTTGCGAACCTACGTGATGCGACTGGGGAAAGCGTTGAACTCGGCAGCGCTGCGTGAAGCGACATGCTTGGCTTCCGCCGCTGACCCCACATTGTATTCCGATGCTCTGATTTCGGAGCTGGATGCCGGAGGGGGCTGCGTTGAATTTCAATCTTTCCCCGGCGATCGCGACTGGTTCGTCCCCGGGTCCTGGTCCCCCCACTCACTCCGTATTCCTGGGTTTTTCCTTCACGAATTCTACGAGCGTTTTCCAGGTTATGCCCTTATTACCATTGAATCCACAGCGAGCCTCTGAATGTGTCAGGTGAATGTCGTTTCAAGTGCTGCTGCTTTTCGTTCTTTTTGTTGTTGTTGTTGTGAGATGCCCTCAAGTCCGTTTTCATCTTGGGTCTAAAAAAGCAGATGCACCGATTCTAGCGAATGACCGTTAAAGGAATTGCTGGGCATGGGGCTCCATATGCCAGGAATAACTCATTTCGCAGCAGCAGGTTCTTCTTTGTCTCGACCAGGTCCCGCAGAAGAATTTTTCATCTCATGACATACCGCCGTAGAATAAATCGGCAGCCTGTTTCTTTCCCCGAGGTGATCATGCAGAGAAATTTTCCGGTTTCCGGGAATATTAAAGAAAGATTCGCAGGGTTCTGGAAAAGTGTACGATAGAATTCGTGAAGTTCCCGGTTTACTTACTGTTGTAAACTGTAGTTATTCCTCTCTTTTTTTTCTCGATCGAATTGCTGGGTTTCGAGGTCTTCACATTCGTACGGGATGGGATTTTGTTCCGCCAACTCGGTTGCACGCAATGCCGAGCAAATTCCGGAAATCGTGGAAGTTGAAACAATTGTTGCTGATAGGACGTCCCGATAGGCCCCCAATCTTTTGCCCTTCTTGGTGGTGGCACTTTCTTTCCGCATGTTTCCCGAAGGGCCTCGAAAGCTTCTTTTTATTTTCAGCTCTCGCCCCATCCTGCACAGCTGGCGGTGGTGCTTTCAGAGGCTTCCGAGCAAGAAATTGCTTGTGAATGTGTAGCGAGAAACCGGAAACGGGATGTCCAGCTTTTTATTTTTTTCCTTTCATATACTCCGATTTGAGCATCGCTTTTTCGAGTACAGGACCGTAAAGTTCGATAGAACCCCTAAACTTCCATGTCTCGATTTAACGTGAGTTCAGTCAACTGTGTGTCTGGGAAACACGGGAATTTCTCCATCTAAATTTCCCGGTTTTGACATGCGTTTCAAGTTGAAGTTTGTGTTGTGTCATGATTGGTTTTCTCATGATCCCGAGTAATTTAACTGCAGTGCTGTATTTATTTCTTCGATGTAATGTTTATGTTGTTGGTACAGTATTATTTTTCTCGAATTTTAGTTTCGAAATTCAAGTCGAATTTGCTTATCTTCAATCGAAATTAGTGATGCTCCGGAAAACGGCTTGCGGTTATTGGCCAGTTTCAATTGTATCATGGGTGTGGGATGGCAGATATTCACTAAGTGTAAGGTTGGGTTCTTCGGGAGTGGCATCGTAGGTGAGATGCTGTTGTGTCTGCTTTCTGCATGCAAAATGAAGGGAATGCTTGTGATATGAGGATTGTTGGAAGAGTTGCATGTGAGTGTATCGCACGCGCGGGTCTGGGGAAGGGAAACCATAAAAAAAAGCGAATGTACACATACGAAATCTTCGAGGTTCCCCAGGGCGGAGTTCCCCGCAGCAATTTGCGTGTAATTTCCTTCCCCCGGTTGGCGCATTTCATAATTTCCTTCTGCTGGAGAGGAACGGTTCAGTCGGTTCCGCAGCTCTGCCCAAGCAGGACGAAAACCCTCGAGTGTGTGGACCCGGGTATGTGTGGCGAGGCCAAGAGCCTCCAGCTCATACATGGTGGCTCATGCGGGTACATGAGTTAATCACCCCGCAGTTTATTCACCGTGCGAACCTGCTTCACCAGCAACCCGTGGCCTTTTCTCTCCCTCTCTTTTCTCCCTTCCCAGAGCTGGGGTCTCCGCAAAATGCATGCCCTTACATCATTTTTCTATACCCCAAACCCTCGACATGGAAATTGCAGTAAAAGTCCGATTATCCGGGTTCGGATTATCCTTGATTGAAGTTATATCGAAGAACTGGGATTATAATACCGCACCTTTTTTACTTGTACCGCTTTTCTCTCCATCACGTCGAAATAATTATCCGGGCAAATCTTTTAAGAATATTGGAAATATTGTTGGTTTATTATTGAATCATTGATCTGTTGAATCAGGGTAGTATCGAATAATTGGGATATTTGATCGCATCGAAAATTACAATCGGCCTTTATCCCGGATAATTAGAGTTCCGTTGTACAGTAGGAGTCATTTATTGAATTTCGATTATCCAGACTCCTGATAGACTTGCCCAAATTTTGATGCATTTGAATGGAAGAGAATATCTGGTATCCAGTAATTTTCTTCGAGTCCATCTATTGATCATGCTGGCAAATGTTTTTGAATATATTTGTTTAACTGTCTTTATTGTTCTTGATATTTGACCATAACTTCCGGACATTAGCCTATACATTTTAGTTGTACTGTTGTCACCTCTAAGCAGATGCCCGCATTATCCGTGTTAATGTCTATGGTTGAACTCCGAGAAGCCTTCCTAATCACGGGGTTTCCATGACCCTAATAATTGAATGTTGTGAATAATCGAGTATTCGAAAATGTTGTTACCAAATTAAACTTATTTCCCTCTTTTATTATTGTTATTCCCGCGACTTTTGGCGTGCATCGGTCCGAATAATGCGTTGATAAGAGAGAACTGAAGCGGTTCAAGTTTATATTAAGTGGCATGAAGACGGTTTTGCTTCCTGTATGTGAATCGACGTTTGAACCCGTTTTATTTCACCAATGGTTGATTAAAGTCCATAATTTTAGCTCGACTATGCGTGAACCTGTTGGTGTAGAATGTTCAACGGTGCAAACGTTGCTTCGTTTTCTTGCTGATTTTTGTGAAACCTGATTTTGGCTGAGATTAATACTTTTCCAATTAGCTCTGAAGCTTCACTTCACTGCTATTCCAAGTGTTTTTGCGCAGTTGGTGTTTTCAAGATACATTATTTCGAGATGAAACGCTCTTGAAATTGAAGTAAAGTTACTGTGAAGCAATTTTAATCCTCATGCAGGCTTTTTTGGGAACCAGTTCTTCGATTGATTTTTTTTTTCGTAAAGCATCCTTGTAACTTGGGATTGGCGTGCTTCTAAATTTGCGAATAAGATGCTTGCTGAATCGCTGTCCTTGTCGTGAGAGCGATATCAACTTCCTGGGAGCCCCATTCCACATTCGCCACCGTTTCCGCTGGAAAACCATCCGGATCTGTCCTCCGCTGCCCTTACCTTCTCCCCACGGTTTTTCTTTTTCCTATTTTCCTTTCGCGTTTTCTTTCCGGTCTGCGAAGAGGGAGCCCATTTCCTCCCCGACTTCACATCACTGCAGGCTCCTAATGTTATCCTATGACGGAATGACTCCAGCATTTCCGTCTCAGCGTCATCTGCGGCGAAAGAAACCCTTTTTCACAGCAAGATGGAAACGGAATTTCTGAACGCAGGTTGACATTCGAACTCTGCTACGTGTCGATGCGAAGTAACCGCCAGTTGTTCACAATTTTATGGGTCTCTCTCTCTCTCCTTTTTTTTTGGTACAGTACCTCACCTCACCAGAAATGACCTCTCTTTGCATCGTGACCTGGTAGTAGGGTTTTCAGATCTTTGCATGACTTTAGCGATGGTCGTCGTAGTGTTTTTTTCTTTCTTTTGGAATGTGGGAGGAGCCGCGAGGCCGTGTAAAGGAAGGAAGAAAGGGTTTCACAGTTTGCCGCAGAGTCTGCGAACCGTTTCCGTTCCTGGACAAGGGTTTTTCCTCAAGCCCCGTCGGGTGCGTTCACGTTGACCGCCCAGCACGAGTGCGTCCACCCGTCTATTTTATTCTTTCGTGGGACAGCGAGTTTCCAGTCCGCAATCCAAGAACTGTCATGTCAGTCAACAGCAATTTTAAAGGAATTATTCAATCATTTCTTGAGACAGCTATAGTAATTTAACAAGTTTTACATCGACTACGCTATTGCTCATTTTCATAGTATTTTTGTCGTCATGAAAGACAACGTTCATCTGTTTGAAATCCTTGAACTTCTGTAAATTGACCCGGATTCCAGGAATGATATTTGCACAAAATTCGCATTTGCTGCTTCAACAGTGCAATTTAAATCGCCTTTCAGAATCTCAAATGATACAGCTGTCTCTGGGAATCTGGCAATGTTTTACGACGGTGTGTTAGGAATTAAAAAAAAAGTACATTAGTATTAATGTGCAGTTATCGATTGACGGGAACTTGATATGAGGATCCCTATCCGAGAGTATGACGAGTCGACCCGGCACGATTAAGAACAGGTGGGCTGCCATTTGCCGTGTTGCTGAAAATCGGTCTGTGAACGGCACCGACGTGGGATTGATGCATTTATTTTCCCATGGGGGCTCGATCGAAGCCCCGTCCCGATTGTACTCGCAGCCAGATGCAACGCCACGAGTTGTCTTCCTTCCGGTCGATGTGGGTGAAGTGGGTTCATCCATGGCCGCAATAAAAATTTTGAACAATACCCTAACCACGATATATTTTTTTTCATGTCCGGTCGATGCAGAATCCGGTTCTGGAAAGCTGCTTCTTAGAGGTTACATTTTTTACGATGTACCGTCAGTTTAACTGTCGGTTAAAAACGGATCAGCTTTGCGTTGTGCACCTTGCGTTTGAATCCAACCCTGATATTTTCTATTCACATTCATTTGTTAACTTGTTGGAGGATTCCTTCTCTGATCTCCTAAACGGAATAAAGGATGTCTGTAACGCTACAGTACAGCGAGAATCTCCATATCCAAGAATTACCTGCGATACCCACCAGGGAACTTTAATTCGGATTTTTAATGGAATCGAAGCGTTTCGCAGTCGTCGAATCTCCATGTTTAAATTGGGTTTCATGTTGCAGTATAATATTTAAGAATCCTTTGCTTGAGGTATCCGATTTTTCTTAAAATTATCGTAATTTGAATTATTTGCGGAATATTGCATCGGCTGGATGCGGAAGGTTGACCGTTGAATTGAAGGAAAGTGGAAAAGAAACTAATCGTCCCGTTTGTAAAGGAAGGGAAACGGGTTTGCTGGTTATGGTGAGGAATGGGATCTGTTTGACTGTCATTAGCACGCATGCCATTGATTGATCGGTGTCGGGTCCGGGTTTCATTTGATCGTTTAATTAACTGAGCTGGATGGTGATTAACCGGTTTCTGTACGAGTCGCTGATGATAGCCTGCATGCCCCTACATAGATGCCGCTGCTGGTGAGGCCAGATTTGATTGGGAACTGTGTGCGACAGCTGTTCTGTATGCGCGGGGCTGGCGGAGAACCTGGCCCGTTGGGCCTGTTGCCGCCTTCCCTCGGCGCCACCCCGCAGTCGTCGCTGCCGTCGTCGGCGTCCACCATCGCCGCCATCCCTGTCGGCGCCGATGGACAGTCCATCCAGTGCTCGCTGTGCCTCAAGGTGATCCAGCGGGTGAGCTTCGCACGGCACAAGCGCATGCACAAGATGGCCGAAGGCAGCATCGCGTCGGTGCACGAGTGCGACGTGTGCAACCGAAAGTTCTACCGGAAAGACAACTACGTGAAGCATTTGGACTCGAGCGCGCACTTCAAGGCGTTGCGGCAGAAGCGGAGTCTCATGGAGTTGACACAACAGCAGCAGTTGCATCAACAGCTCTGCGCGGGACTGCCCGTGTTTCCGAGGTCCTCACCGTCCCCGCCCGCGTTTGCGACGCCCTACCAGCCGCCGTCGTTGGGAGTCGTCAAGCCAGGCTCTGACGACGGCCGTGCGGAGTCGGCCGACGACGCCGACGAAGATACCAAGGGGAACCGATCCGCCCCCGCGAGTCCATGAGTCGTCCCCATCTCGCGGCGCCTCGCGGACGAGATTCCGACTGGAGATCCTATTTTTTGTTTTCCTGCTTTTCTTTTGATTCTCCGCGAAGCCATTGATTTTTCGTGCGTGTGTTTCTCTCTTTTTTTCTTCTTTTTTCCCTCTGCGAGAGGTATTTCTGAAATCTGAACAGTAACCCAGAGACGATCCTTTTGAGCCTCATCAGAGATCGGTGGAAGTACTGTACTTGCTGTCAGTTAATTAAGTTACTTGCTGTCTTTTGCCCCGTGTCATGGAATATGTAATCCCAAATTTTGGGTCGTAGACATGCTTAAGGAGAAAACTTGAGCGTCAATTAGAATCGCTATCTTGGTTGGTGGCTGCAATTTCAGCTGATCATGTCAGCATGTTTCATGAAGTTTCTGGGTAAAGTTTAAATTGGAAACAAAACATTTTCAACTTTACCAGCACGGTTTTTCTCTTAATCTTGTCATCCTACTTGAATTTGATATTTTCAGATTTGCATCCTAAATTATCGCTCAAGGTACTGTACTACAGAATGACATGGCATTTATCGCTGAGGTATCGTCTCAACTCTCGTAGTGTTGATCAAGACATTGAATGCAAGTTATTTCTTCCTGCTTTGATGATGGCTTTTTGGTCAACTGTGCAAGCATTCTGAAAAACCCTCGTTTCTGTTCTTGTTTCTGTTTTGTTACTTGAAGAAATTTTCTTTAGCGTCGGCGTAGCTTACGTTTTTCTTGAACTTGAATTTGCTGAACTTGACAGGCACCTGATAGCGGAGAACAGTTTGTAGCCAGTTACCATGTTATTGTGTCGTGTGAAGCATCAGCTCGAATCCTGGCGAAGTTTGTGCGTAAATTTTGCGTAGATGGTCAATCTAAGCTGTTTTGTGTTTCTGTGAGGTTGACGGGAACATTTTCGCTTCTCAACGATTCTAAAAATTTCCTCTGTAGATTATCTTTTTGCAGCGTTCAGGTCAGTTTCGTTCAATGTTGCTTAATGTACCATTTCAGACGCTGGACGTAGCCGTTGATCCTATTTTTCTTCATTGCGTGCCAAAATGTCTTTTCAAGAAGCTTCCGAAATTTAAAGTTATACGAAAATTTCTGGATAATCTAGGATTGACATCGTTTCAGTGACGAAAATATCGAGTGTATTATGTCTCAAGAGGGACGCGCTTCGAACAAAATAGAAGAGCAGAGATGAAAATTTTGGAAATCCGTCAAGATCTTATAGCACTTGTGAAAAATTATGATCGCTGATGTTTTGAAGTTGTTTTAGAAATGCGCTTCATCAATGAGTCGTGGTCTTCCAATCCAAAGTATGTGTTGTTAAGTTTTCATGTTCTATTCAGCTGTTACGGAAATTAAGCGGGAATAAGCGTTATAATGCGTATTTTTGGTCAGATTTGTCTTCGAAATTTCTTTTTCCGTGGATTCGTTTGAAGGTCAATGAAATACGCTGTTCAGCCCATTTTGTCTGCAATATGCTGAGAAACGAAATGTCTACGTCCGAGTCGATTTCTATGAATTTTTTTTTTCTCCCTGGAAATTTGTCGAAAAAAAAATATAGAACCAGAATGTGGAAAATTTTTTACCTCTGCGATTCGAACCAGTCCGAACGCCAAATGCACGTGATGGCACTGTCAGCGATGTACAGTCTGCGTCGGAAGGGAGCGCGGAAAGCCACCACCTGTACCTGACAGAATCTCAGAAATGTCCTGTAACTTGTACGGTTTTCTTACGGCCACGAATTTTTGATCGGCCTGTGGTTGAAAGCATTGCAACGACAGGGTGTTCATCTGTTTGCAAAGCGCGGAAATCTGTGTCCCGAACAATGTGACCTGTTCGGAGCGCGAAATTCTCGGTCTCTGGCCTCGTCTATCATTTTTTTTTCTTTCCTTTTTAAATGTTTCGAGTTGACACACATGTGCGTCGTGCGTTGTGAATTTTGGCTTCTTTTGTTTGTGGTTGCGGTATTTGTACCAGATGTCTCGTCTTTTTTTGCTACGTGGAATGTTGGATCTTCCGCCCGTTCGCTCGATTGGCGCTTCCTGTTGCTCTTCGGAACCAAGTTGCTCCTGTGAGGAAAGCGAGCTGTAATCTCTGTGTTGGATCTTGACCTCCGTGTAGTCGTCGTTTCCAGTGTTGGAACAATTGGGTGCGTGCGAGGTTATTTTTGCGGGTTAGCTTTTCTCGGTGTGATGGAAGACCGGGGTGGTGACTGCGAAACGGATGCCGGGAAAGGAAAGTTATGTAAGAGGGAAAATTTTGAAGAATAATCGTTTGAGCACCAGAGATTTACTCAAATGCAGCAGCAGCGCCATTTTCAAAATTCATCTCAGAAACACCGTTACGTTTACGGAAATAAACATATTTTTTGTCCGGTTGAAGCTCATTGGGAATGTAATCTTCCACTTCATCAGTGCGCTCATGAATGGGAAGTTTGAGGTGTGTCGTTAAGAATCCTGTTAGTTTGCTGCTGAAAGTGGGAGTATTTTTTGGAGCGCCTTCTGTATCCCGATCTGGTTATAATATGACGCGGAAATATTTTGGAATGGCTTTGTTTTTATGTTTTATTTTTTTTGCTGAAGCCCCGGTGGGAAAGGGGACCAAAGAGTACCGCCTGGATCGCGGGTGGCGAAACGAGCGCGTGATTTTTTTGCCGGCTGGATTCCGGAAACCGACGGCCAGGAAACGTTCCTCAGTATCCCCGCTAAGAGCTCTTGTGTGTGTTGAGATCTCCTCCTCGTCTCCGTCTAGTTCCGCAGGAAGGAAATCAGGGCAATTCAAGCTCACAACCTCGAGGGCGTTTTATCACGGGGCGATTTTATAAAATGCCTTGTGGAAGCAGTGTGGCGAGTAAAGTTGTAAATCTCTTTTTTTTTTTTTGTGCGCGCGCGACCGAGTCTACCTGGAAATATTGCATCTTGTGTTCATTGCACCCAGGGAGAAGTCGGGCCGATCTTTATTTTATTTTTTGCTGAATCTTGGGGGAGGGGGGGGGGGGTCGGGTCACGTCACGTACTGCTGCATCATATCCGAGGGAGAATAAGTCGGGATATTCTTGTTAGTCAGGCAGGCCGTCCGGGTCTCGCCACGCTTCAAAAAAGGAAAAGTCAGCGGGACACTCTGCGTTTGTGTGGGTTGGAGGTGCAAGTTATCGTATCATGAGCATGCTATGGATATTCAGATTTGTTTTTTAGCCAGCATGTCGTGCGACGCGTTGCTTCTTCGCGAACCAGGTCCTTGCGCTTCGCTGTTTTTTTTTTTTCCGGTATCAGCCGTGTGTGATTGTGGCAAGTAATAGTGCTTTAATTTCTTGTCGTCGTGCAAAGGGAAAAAAGGGAAGGATGTTGAGGCCGTGCGTTACGAGCTGTTGGTGTTGAGTGGAAAGCCGCTGTTTGACCCTGTGTCGTACGAGACGTTGGGGTGCGAGTGGCTTTTTTTTTTCGTTGTTGTTCAATGGGAGGAGATCACGAATGGAAGTCATCTATGGAGTATTTTCACTGCAAGAATAAAATGTTATAATTTGCACCGAAATCTCGTGGCGATACTTTCTTTTCATCTTTCTAGCGGTTTGTAGACGGAACTGTATTTGGACCATGAACAAGACACGGATTCTTTCTGTCATTTATTCCTCTGGACGAGACGTATTGAAAACTCTGAATTGGAAGGTGTTGAGAATTTTGTCAGAATTTTAATGTGTACATACATATACAGTATACATACATTATAATGCACAGTATTGTATGGTACAGTAATATTCTATCGCTAGTCTCCCCATGTGAGCTTTTGGAGCTCGCGGAAATTTCTCCATCCTAAGTTATCTTAATCTTTTCATGCCTGCAATTATATTTGGATTTTAATTGGTAAGCTGATGATCACGAATGGAAATCATCAATGGAGTATTTTCACGGAAAGAATAAAATGTTAAAAGCTTCATTTGAAATAAAGGATTGACTATTCCACTGTCGATTGCTGCGGGATCCTTCGTTTGCTCACGATCCATCTTTATCAGTTAACTACGAAACATATTTCAGCGATGGATTAGATCTACTGTCGAATTGGGCCCCTTGTATATTAAAGTTGTTGCTTCCTGTTCTTAAATTAAGGTGAAATCTTGTCCGGCCTTTTTCGGGATAAATTCATATTTTTAGAGAAGTTGAATAATTTTCTATATTTTTCCCGAAGAAAAAATTTAAATGAACTAACGGCTGGGACCAAACGAGTTTACCGTCAACATTCTTCGCGTGGTGTTTGAAATACTGTGCGTTGTGTTTAGGCGATCGTTTTTTCCCTGTCATTACTGACAACTGGAATTTATTACCTTGCATGCTGTGAATGAACACCAATGTCCGAACATTTAGTTACAGCGAGACTTTTTTGTGTGCAGGAAATCAAGGTTTCGACACCCGAATATCAAATCATCCTCGCTGCGTGTCAACTGGAGCGAATGTGACGATTTGCAGGTGATCTCTGAAACGAGGCAAGATTTCATCGTCGCGAATTCATGCAATTCCGATGATCAACTGTGTTTTACATTCTAAAATTTTTAGGCAACCCTCCTCCGCTTTTCTCCGGGGAACCTCTTCAATTAATCAACTTGACCTGTGCTAGTATTCTCTGCGTGTTTTGAAAAACGAATCTTTATGCTGTTGAGTTGCGTAAGTTGCGACATCGTATTTTTCGATAATGTTTAGCGTGAGTCATTTCTCTCGCTTCCATCATGCTTCAAACTCAGCTGAGAGATTTGCAGGGAATGACTCGTAAAATTGTCAGTTGAGATTCGTCATCTTCATTTTGTACCGCAACTTACTTGGCCAATCGAGTGTAGTAAGCTAACTCAATCTTACTTGAATTTCTTCGGAGATTACCTGCAGTTTCCAGATTTTGGTTTTTAAAAATATAATTTTTTTCAGTTTCATGACTAATGTATAGAGGTGCAAGAAGCGGTGATGAAGTATAGTTTTGTTGTGTGATAGAAAAAGGTTATACTTGTAGATCCGAACAAGGTTTAATGAGTTTCCCTGTAGCTCGAAGTGTGCGTCATTTGCAAGTAACCAACCACAAACTACGTGATTTGACGTTGCGAATAGTGGGCTGAAATACGGATGCAGTATCTTCTTTTTCTGCACATCTGCACGAACGGGAAGTCCCGTATTTAGCTCAATTTCGTTTTCTCTTTCAGGTCGACGCGAAATTGCGATGTATAGGTCTGAACAAGGTCCCTGTTTTGTAACATTCGTGGGACTTCCAGAAAAAAAAGTATATGCAGTACACAGAAATTATGGACTCTGGATGTCATGTACTGTAGTATTCAAGGTCTGTATCGTTCTTTTTTTATCTTCATGAAATTTACCTTTGTCCAAAAGCGGAAATTCACACAGTTGATGTTCATTCGTGCTGCTTTGTGCCCGTTTCTGTGTCCGCCAGTGCATCAGATTTATAAGAAAAAAGTCAAATAAAAAGCTTTCATCACTCGAGCTTGGAACTGATCCTGTAGATAGTTTTAAAAAAATGAAACATTCTGCACGAAGTTTCGGAAAACTTGCGGCACTGCGCGAATTAGTCAATATTGCTTTGTCAGAAAGCGACATCTCTGAAAACATCCGCAATGTATGATAAAGGTTTTTCTTTGATATGAACGTAGATGGCCTACAGTGAATTCGAGGGACAGGAGGACGGGCCATGATTTTTCTCTTGATGTAATCTATCCTAGTTCCTAAAGGCTCATCAGCATGTGGATAAATTAGAAGCTCTGCTGCTCGTGATACATGTGAGAACACTGTTGAGTTATATTCAGTTCAAGAATCAGAAGCTCTGACAATTAAGAGCCAGGGCTCATTTCTACAGTACCGTGGACAATTTGGAATACTGTTTGTACAAATTTATGTACCGTACCACAGTACTGTATGTCCAAATGAGGTTCAACGAGTAAAACTTGAATCTTGGTGACTGCAGCATAATTTTCTTCGCCCTTTATTTCTCACCTGAACCCAGCTGTCACCTGTGACCATCACAGGTAAAGGTCTCTCAGATCTTGAAAAATGGGTTACAGGACAGTTATTGGCCTGGGTGATATTGTAATGACTGGAGGGTAATGGGCATTCCAGCACGTGGTTATTTTAATGGGGTTTTCACCCTTCCATAACCCATCACGGAAAAATAAGAACCTGCCTGCATGATTCCCCCCCCCCCCCCCAAATGTGAGCTTCATCCTGTCAAAAAATGAATTTTGGTACAATAAAAACTCTTTCCTGGGCTTGCAGGCCCAACTTCTTGATTTTCAATTTAAATTAACCTTCCTTCTCTAATTCTATAGGGCAGCCCTTTGAGTTGAAAACTTTCAGCTCTGTCGCGACCCCGGTTGACGACCTAGTCTGTACGAAAGTGCGTTTGCTTAGGAGACCTTTCGGTAAAAGACACCTTATATAGCTCTTACTTTTCGACCGCTGAGTTAGCGTAAGGTGTTGCTCCAGCTAACTACTTATCTAATGTTCGATCAACCGACCTGGAGAAACCCGCGCTGAGCATTCATATAAAAAGCAATTATTGCACGCGGCGTCCAAGTGAAAATGATCTTTTTTTTTTCGAAGCAGTTTTGAGTATGTTCGTTGGGATTCTTCTTCGCAGGGCTGAAGTCCACGGAAAGACGGCCATAAATTATGGCTCATGTTCTCGCTTTTATCTCTCCGACCCATATGATCCCCAGGAACATCCTGCGACACGAGGGAGAGCGATGCGATATTCGTATACTGTACTGTATTGAGGCGAGGGGGCGCAGGAATCCACCCCACATTCCCGAAAATTGCGAGATATGCTGTGTCATCAACGGCGGAAACAAGAGCGACGGGCTCAATTCCGCATTTCATGGCTGGATTTTCAGTGTGAACATCTCAAAGAACGGGTGCTAACAAAATCATGAGGAGGAAATTCTGCACGCGCCTGTGCGATACATGGGGTATGGCTGTGGGTATTACCCATTCACGAGTTACATCTATGGTATAATCCTTAATTAATCCTTGAGACCAAGCGTAAATCGTCATTGAAATACTTTTGAGCAAAGGATACGTGAATGAGAAGCAATGGAGAAGGTTGGTTGAATCAGCAAATGCTGTACCGGTATACAACCAAACTTTTTCTGGAAAATAACAGCAGTTGAATATACTGTATTACTGCTGTTGCCTCAAATCCCATGCGAACATCCAATATATTACGCATCGTAATTTTTTCCTATCGTAGTGCTGATCAGTTGTCAAGTGCCATTTTAATTTTTTCTGTATTGTTTACTGTATCCCTTTTGTTACGGGGTTTCGACAATCGGGGTTCCCCCATGTATTTTGCTGAAGTATAATCGGCAATGCGGATTTTACATTTATTTTATGCATGGACCATCAGTATTTTCTTTTTCTCATGAGTGAAATCAATCAAATTATTATACAAAGATAATCGACTGACTTATGAAAGACTCTTTTTGTGTATCACGCCATGAAATAGTGTGCCTAATTTGACGCAGTGGGATTCATTAAGTGGTTTGCTGATTTGGAAAGCGGCGAAGATAATATTTTCTCCGAAGACTCATGTACAGTACTGAGTGAGACTGTGGCTCACGACGGAATACATTTAGTCAGCAAATTAGATGCTATGTACTTGTACAGTACTGTACTCTGTTTGAAGACCCCACAAGAGTTGACAAATCTCCGATTGTAAATAACCGAATTTACTCGAGTACAACGTGCACATTTTTTCTCAAAATTGAGATAGAAAAAGGAGGTGCGCGTCATATGCGGGTATAAATTGAAAAATAAGGTTTCAGAAGTTTCAGTGTGCTTTTTTTTTATTCGAAGACAACTTCGGATAATTTTCATCATAAAACTTATTTTAATGGAATTAATTGAATATTGGTCGATTTCAGGATCAATTCATGTCTAAATTCAAATTTTGGTGCTCTTATTTTTCGAATACTATACATTATAGTTTTAGAGTCGCAAAAA